ATAAACTAGGCATCGCCGAACATTCATTCTCCGCCCAAAGGTAGAGCTAGAGGTCACAACCAGATGCCAAAGTTTCAGCCCGATCCGATAACTTAATCAAAAGTTATAAGTGATTTTCTGAAAAGTTCAATGGGAAAATGGAGCCCATTTTTGCCCGTTTTCGGTTTCTGGTGCCATAGAGCGCCATGTGTTTGAAAACTCCGTCGGCTGCCATTTTCCCATTGAAATTTTCAGAAAATCACTTATAACTTTTGATTAAGTTATCAGATCGGGCTGAAACTTTGGCATCTGGTTGTGACCTCTAGCTCTACCTTTGGGCGGAGAATGAGCGTTCGGCGACGCCTAGTTTATTTTTGCGATAAAAAAGATTGTGTAAATTTTCTTTTGTGACACCCTGTACATAGTTTTGGTAGTTACTGAAGTGATCAACCGTGAAACCGAGTGTTCGCGCACACTTGACGAAGTTTGGGTCGAGGAATTGCACAGCCCCGGACATTCTTCGCCTATCGGATGCATTGATGTCAACAAACAAGCCGTCGTCTGTCGTCCGCTTTTAGACAGTGAAATCGTTAAAGTGGTTAGGCCTAATTTCACACACTCCGGGTAAATGCGTTTATTTAATCCGTAACAGAAAGGCCCAGCGAGTTACACGCTGCGTTGTAGGCTGAGAGTGTCTGGTAGCCTCTCCCTGAATGAAACATGATCCGTGAGAGCGGTCTTTGGGGGTTGGCGGTTGAACTTCGTACAAGTTCTTGTCTCCGTGAACGAAACTTGATCTATGCGAGAGGCCAGAGTTCTTATATGTGTAGTCGCAGATATACTTGAGTGTGCCTGCCGGATGCTAGCAATATATATCGCCTAAGAACGGTCACGTTGCTTTTCGTGCTCAATGAGCTTCGTAGGGCGCCTTTCCTTTGGCAAAAGGCACCCCAAAAAGGTTTGCATTTTATAAAGAATGGTTATTGTGGTGTGCCAGAGTACCTTGTTGTGCCATATTGACACCTAATATAACATTTGCACGAAGAATGTAAATGCAAAAATTTTACCCCGTGCAATGAACGCCCCCCCCCCCCCAAATATGTAAATTTTTAGGGAAAAAAAAAGTGTGTTTATTATGCGAGTAAATACGGTACACCTAAGCATTTCTTACGAGTTGCGAATGCGAAAGCAGGCATGTTGTTCTTCCGCTCCCTTAGTTCGTCTGCAGCGTACTAGCGTGGATGGCCGAGTGCGCTCTCTCCTCGCCGCGCTGACCTTGGTGGTGCTCTCTCCTCACCTCGCTCGTCAGCCAGACGCGCTTCATTTTACCAGCGCACTGGTGACGCAGACCCATGGGGTGGCGGTCGTTGAAACTATGATGCGCACCAGCCAATGGGACGTATCCATCAAATTTCGACTTCACTGCGCTCCATTGGGAGCGGGGAAACTAGGTGCCATTTGGCTAGGCTTTTCGCACGGCTTCACTTGGAGAAAGGAGTTTAGGTACCGTTTGGCACGGCTTCAAAGCTGATGACGTCTGCTCGCTCCACGAGACAGTTAATGCTTTCGCATTAATAAAGGTTCTGGGTCGGTGTGCGTCGGCGGTCCTTCTGCAGAGCCCGCACTTGCGGAGCACGTTTGCGATGCAACAGTCTGGGCGCTGCGCCGGCTACATTCCGTTCCACTCCGAGCTAAGCCGCAGCCAACGCTACGATCCGACAGTGGCAACCGAGTGGTGCCAAAAGGGCGTCATCGTGACGCCTATTGCCTTCGTGGGTTCGCTGTCGCGGCTAAACCGATCGCACACAAAAAAAAGCTTATAATCGTGGTGCATTTGCCGTGCGCAATGGTTGAGTCGGCGATGGTGAACCGACGAGGAACACAAGGGCCGTGACGTCGCACTTTTGGCACCGCTCGATCGGCTCTGTTGGATCGAAACTGCACGAAACAGCTCGTTGTCGGACGGGCTCGGACATGCAGAATAAATTGTGTTTGTGGCCACTAATTGACTCTACCGGTGAATCCTGAGGTTAATTCGCCCCCCTATCGGAAGAAAATCGGCTTACTGCACACTCGCCGGTGCGACACTGACCCATTGCACACTCGACTGAGAAACAAATGGTTTGTTGCACTCTATAATAATAAAAAAAAAAATATTCCGCTTTAACTTTTAGCAAAAAAAAGTGAAAGCTGCTTACAACTCCCTGTAACGCCGAATTAGAGCGCAGCTCTTGAGGAGGAGGAGGGAAGGGCGCTGGGGGGGCGGGGTTAGACTAACCAGGGGGGGGTCACGTGACCTTGGGGGTCACGTGACCCCCAATGCCGATGATGTCATCAGTGACGATGACGATGCGGGTACCGATGACGTCATTAGTGACGTCACTGATGACTTCACCAGTGATGATGACGATGACGATGCGAATGTCGGTGACGTCATCAGTGACGTCGCTGACGACGTCCTCAGTGATAATGACGATGCGGATGCCGGTGACGACATCAGTGACGTCACTGATGACGTCATCAGTGATGATGACGATGACGATGCGGACGTCGGTAACGTCACCGGCATCCACATCGTCATCATCACTGATGACGTCACCGGCATCCACATCGTCATCATCACTGATGACGTCACCGGCATCCACATCGTCATCATCACTGATGACGTCACCGGCATCCGCATCGTCATCATCACTGATGACGTCACCGGCATCCACATCGTCATCATCACTGATGACGTCACCGGCATCCACATCGTCATCATCACTGATGACGTCACCGGCATCCACATCGTCACTGATGACGTCACCGGCATCCACATCGTCATCATCACTGATGACGTCACCGGCATCCACATCGTCATCATCACTGATGACGTCACCGGCATCCGCATTGTCATCATCACTGATGATGACGTCATCAGTGATGATGACGATGACGATGTGGATGCCGGTGACGTCATCAGTGTCGATGACGTCTTCGGGGGGTCACGCGACATCGGCGGGGGTCACGTGACCTCGGGGGGTCACGTGACCTCGAGGAGGGGGTCACGTGACCTCAGGGGAGTCACGTGACCCCGGTGGGGGGCTCGCGCGGTGCATTATGGGAAATTTCCCATGATGCACCGCGCGGTTACGCCGACGGCGACGGCGACGCCGACGCCGCTCAAGCCGGAAACGGGCCCCTAAGAGCTGCGCTCTAAAACGGAGGGGGGAGGGGGGGGGAAGGTTCAGAACATGCCGACTAGTTTTTTATGTGAAAAAATTACGGGCAAACAAATCATGCTTAGATATTAGGATGCCTTTTGAGGGTCCGACTGTGGCTACTACCGTATTTACTCACATAATGAACACACTTTTTTTCCCGAAAAATTGACACATATTTGGGGGGGGGGGGCCGGCGGGCGGGCGTTCATTACATGGGGTAAAATTTTTGCATTTACACACTTCGTGCAAATTTCACATTGGTTGCCAATGTGACACGGCAAGGTACTGAGGCACGTCTACGGTAATGGAGGCGCACCCATGGCTGGTTGGGGGCGTGCCACAATAACCATGCTTTATAAATTGCAAACCTTTTAAGGGCACTTTCGGGGTACTTTTTGCCGAAGGAAAAGCGCCCTACAAAGCTCTCTCAGCACAAAAAGCAACACGACCGTTCTTAGGAGATATATATTGCCAGTATCCGGCGGGCACGCTCAGGTATAATCCACGACTATAAGAACTCGTACGAAGTCCAACCGCCTACCCCCAAAGCCTGCTCGCACAGATCAAGTTTCGTTCACGGAGAGGCTACCAGACACTCTCAGCCTCAGCACAGCGTGCACCTCGCTTTGCGATTCTGTTGCGGATTAAATAAACGCATTTGCCCGGAGTATGTGAAATTAGGTGTAACCACTTCCCCGATTCCACAGTCCGAAAGCGGACCATAGACGACGGCTTGTTTGTTGACATCAATGCATCCGATAGACAAAGAATGTCCGGGGCTCGGCAATTCCTCGACCCAAGCTTCGTCAAGTGTGCGCGACACTCGGTTTCACGGTTGATCACTTCCGTAACTACCGCAACTACGCACTTGCAGCCATTACGAGAGCAGCTTGGATTGACTTGGCCTGACTGTTTGGCGGCAAAAGAAAACTGGCTTGGTGGCTTGCTAAATTGGATGCAATTCGAGACTCGCGGATCCGAAAATTGGAGCTGCGTTGATTACGGAAGGGAGAAAAAGTCAAAATACTTATACCCATTGTGGGGGATGCATTTATTATGCGAGTAAATACGGTACTCGACCCGCGCAAAGTCATAACCTCGCTTAGTACGACATATCCTTACGTCGGCCGATCTTCCCCAAAAAAAGTGCCAAGATAGACTCATAGTAGTCATGCTTGAGAGAGAGGCTCCTAGGGAGTTAAATACGCAAAAGGGAGCAGAAGATACATGCAAAGGAGAACAAAAAGCACCTCTGTCGAATCCGCATGAGCAGATGGAACTGGTGCAATCTATGTCTCTTGCCCATGATAAATATTTGCAAAGCAGTTTGTACGAAAACGGTGACAACAATCAGCCAGCTCGGAACAGAGCACGACTACATTTCTTTAAAATTCGCACGAGTCAAACTCGTACAGGGCAAGGAACAAACGGTTGGGTGATCTGACAAAAGGAAGACTCTGAAGTGGCACCTTTCCCACGCACTTCTTGCTCTAAAAAGTGCTTGCCGTGTTAACAAACAGTTCAAATGGAAGCTGAAATCTCATCTACATGGTGCAAGCACAGTATAAAACTTTAGGGCCTTCCTTGCCCTGTAGAAGTTTGTACCACTATGTCATCGATGGGATAACAATGGCAGCAGGACTGTTTAGCAGTCCAGTCCCCGCCTTAGGTAATGATAGCTGCATTAATGAGCTCAGGCTGGAGTCTGGACAACTCAAAGCATGCTCCTATCCTTCTCGTCCTGTCCACAACCTATGGGCATGAACCACATATCACTGCCAGGGTTGTAGCTAAAAAGGGATTGCACAGGAAGAGTTAAAATAGAACAGTTTATTTCAAACATAAATCTGTCTGGGGTGCTGCAGCAAAAGGCAAAACGCCCTCTGACATGGCCGCCAGCCAGCCAGCCTTATAGCAGTCAACAGAAACTGGATACAATATTTAAGCATAAAAATTAAAATAAACATAGACGTCTGTGAAGAAAAATCCACGAAACAAAAACAAGAGAAAACTGCATTAATTGACATTAACATCGTCATTATCAACAATATTATCCAATGCACGTCAACACTTCATAACACCATGAAAGGAAGACATATTGAAGGCACTATATTTGCAATAAGCACACAGAAAAGTTACATTCTCTTACAATAATCTAAGGTAGGCGCAGCTTGAAGGGAATATGTTTCGACTTTTTTCCTGAATGTTTGGATTTTTCTACACTGCTGTGCTATTTGTACAATGCTTGGCTGTTTATTCAGTAGGTTAGGAATTTGGTAATCTCGTTTTTGAGTTCCATAGTTCTAACGTTTTGTATAATTGGTACGCCCGAAGTCGCATTCCACAGGTTTATGAAGATAAGTATCAAAGAAATATGTGTCATCATGCTTGATCTGATCAAAAATTATGATCGCCAATTTATGTGAGAGGACATGTTCCATTGGTAGTAACTTGTATTTTTCGAATGAGGATGCTGTATGTTTGATGTAGCCTAAATTGTCAATAATCCTTACAGCCTTCTTTTGTAAAAAAAAAATATTTTTTCATTGTTTGCCTTCGTTGTGCCCCACACTAAAAGACAATATTGTAACCGAGAATATACAAGAGCGTAGTACAGTTGTAGTTTGAGCCAGTTTGGTAGTAATTCCCTTAGTTTGCACCGCATTCCAATTGAACGTGAGATGTTACATCTTGGGTTATTTACATGATTTGTCCAACTTAAAAATTCCTCAAACCAGGTATACTCCAAGAAATTTGTGTGCCATAATAGGCTCTATTGCCGATTTAGAAAGTGAATATGTAATTTATACTGCAACAGTTCGTCTTTGATTCAATATTACATAATTTGCTTTCTTTATGTTCAATTCTAGCTGATTAGACTCCAGCCATACAGATATAGTTCTTTAAGCCAGATATTTGCAGTTTCAGATTCGAAAAGCGCCAGAAAACAAGGACAAATGAAGGAATAGACGAAACAATGTGCTACTGTCAACTGAATTTTTATTCGGAAAATTCAGTTGACAGTAGTAAAAATTCAGTTGACAGTAGCGCATCGTTTCGTCTATTCCTTCAGTTGTCCTTGTTTTCTGGCGCTTTTCTAATCTAAGATGTACCAATAACTTGCCCAACTCCAGATTCTTCTACTATTTCCAGTTTCTTCAGGCTCTTGCAGATTATCTCCAGAAAAGAACTAGTATCATCAGCGTACAATATAATGTAGGGAGTAAGCGACACATTAACCTTTATATATATTAGGAATAACAAAGGTCCAAGGATGGAACCTTGTGGAACACCGTACTGTATGCGAGAAATCTGCGATCTGAAACCATTCAGGACAGTAAATTGAAATCTATCGGATAAATAATTGTTGATAAGGTCAAGAGCTATTCCCCTTACTCCATACCGTTGTAATTTCCCTATAAGAATGTCATGCTTCGTAGAACCGAACTCTTTGCGAAAGTCTGCAAATATACCGAGTGTGTAAAGGTGAGACCGCATATTACTAATTATTTATTCCTTTATGTTCGACACAGCCGATTTTGTGGATTTTTCTTTTTGAAATCCATACTGATAAGGCATTGAATTTTTGTCAAACACATATTTAGAAAACCTACTGTTTATCACTTTTTCAGCGACCTTTAAAAATAATGGCAGAATCGAAATTGGCCGATAGTTATTTAGATTACTTAGTGCACCTCCTTTATCTATGGCACATACCCTAGCTTTTTTCATTTTATGAGGAAATATGCCTATTTCAAGGATTCTATTACATATATGAGCAAAAGGATAACATATCAGGCCGTTTGTTGCTTTGATGGGGGCTACAGTCAGGTTGTCAAAGCCTGACAGGGTGTTTTTTAATGAGATAATAGACAATATTTGAAACTGCTTAATGGTCTGGCAGCACTGTGCATGCTGCCATCTTGGTAGCGTCAAGTATCTTGAGTTTCAGTTTCTCTGCATTCCCAGAGCATGGACGCTCTGCCACTACCTAAGTGGGATTCGGAAAATATTGTTTCCTGACTTCCGATCACCAAACAAGGACTAGGCTGTCATTCCTTTCATCTCTGAGGACGATTTGAAGTCTTTTTTCTATGCGAATATGTATGAAGTCTGTCTAGTGGTGGACTGCTCCAAGCCAATACATGCAACTAAAGCTTTGTTTCTTTTTTTTTTACTTGTTTCCGGCGAAAGATTTTTTTTTTTTTTTTTGGTGGAAAGTTGTGTTTTTCTAAAGAGAACTGTGCCCTGGGCCATACTTTTCAGGTGTTGCAAAGAGCTCAGATTAGTTTCAGATAGCATTGACCTCAACACAGTTGTCGGACGTTGTGCTATCAATGAAGGTTTGTTCAACCTTGGTAGAATAACTGCATTGACTTTCTCAAAACTACCCCGGATCTTCTTTGCACTAAACAAAATTTTTCCTTCGGCTGCGACAAGGAAAAAAAAAAAGAGAAAAGAAAAAGAGATTGTGAAATGAAGTTGGTACCGCCCGTGTTGCTCCCTTCGACATCCGCAACGCAAGTTTTCGGCGCTACCGAGATTGAGGTTTTAACCACTGCGATAAACCCAAGTCGAACGGCATGTTCAATGTAATTAAACGACGTGTTTGACAAAAAAGACAGAAAAATCCGCTCTCAGTAAGTGTTGAGCAAACAGACACTTCGTCCGTGTTTGTTGTTTTCTATTCTACATGACCGCGATTTAAATATCCAAGAATATTATATCAACAAACTCTCCTGTTTAGTTTTAGAAGTGTTTTACAAACCTCATTTACCGACGCCAGATGAAATGTATAGAAATCGCTGCAAAGCCACGAGGTTAATTTCTAGCTTTCCAAAGTAATTACTTTTTTTGAATCTATGGCATTAAAATGAGGGCTCTGTGATGCTTTCAGCTTTTGTTTTTCACTGTTAACCATATGTATCTTTAATTATGGTTGGGGGCATAGATTATTAGAGCTGTCATCTTTTTGCCTCGCTTTAACAGCCTGGGTCTCGTGTGCATACATTGAGCTGCTTGCTCTTCAAGAAAAACGCAAACCAACACTACAATGCGCATAAAAGAAAAGTTAAGAAATAAACTTGGTACAATTTCGTGAAAAGATTAGGACCCAGTTCCATAGTTGTAAATGGCTTCACGCCGCATGATAACCTCCACATGTTTCTTCTCGTTGTAGCCGATTGTTTTTGTGAAAAGCATGCGTTTTAAGTAACAAGTTAAACTAAGAAAGATTTGTGAACCCTGTTCACGTCACGCACAAATCAAAGGTTCATAGCTGCATCTGCAGCGTTGGCATCGCATCTCGCACGAAGCGTGGTCGCTTATTTACATTGATCTTTGCCGGTCGGGCCACTGGTCTCGTTTTCTCGCCGCTACCAAGATGGCGGAAGTAGTTCTTGGCATGCTACTAGATGATGCTCTACATTTTGGATATGGTCTATTATGTTTCTGATCTTGCTGTCAGTGGTGGATGCCATAAAAATAGAGTTAGTTTGATTCATGTTAAGAACATTCTTATAGAGATCACTGTGACTCAGAAGTCCAACCCAGCAGCCTAACTCAGCAGTCCCAACACTCCGCGTCCAACTAGGCCACAAGACTTGGCAGTCCTGACTAAGCAACTGAACTATGCCGTCTGGCTCGGCAATCTGGCTCAGCGGCCCAACAGCAATTGCACACTTATGTCCGACTTGGCAGTTCAACCCAGCAGCCCGAATGAGCAGCATGACCTGGCAGTTCAGACTTTACCGTCCAACTCAGCGGTACAACTTAACAGTCTCGACTTGCCAGTTCAACTGAACAGTCTAGCAAACTGGCTCAGCACTTCCTTACAGTCTCGCTCGCCAGTTCAGCCCAGTGGCTCCCCTTTGTGGTCAAACTCGGCAGTGTGACTAAGCGATCCCAATCATCAGTTCGACTCGGCAATCTGGCTTAACAACTCAACGGCAATCCTACTCTACGGTCCGAGTCAGTGGTCCAATTTGGCGGTGCGACTCAGCAGTCCAACTTGCGAAAGAGCAACGGGTCGAAGACGCACATCCCACTGCGGTCAGAAGCCACCGAGAGTGCGGGCGGCGTCATGTCCAGCGTGCGCAGAGCGGACGACAGCTGGAGGCTCAGCTCCCTGAGCCGCTGCTTGACCTGGGCAAGGTCCGGCTCCGGCCGCATCAGCGTGAAGACGCCCCGGCCGGCATGGCGCATCAGGTGCCAGCAGTAGGCACCCAGCACCGCCTCCAGGTCGTCGTCCTCCCCAGGGCAGCGGTTCCTGCGAGGGGCGCCACGTCCCGACGTTTGCATCGGGGCGATCGGTGGCCGAGCGCGTTCGAGCCACAGTCGGACCGATCGTGCATTGTGCAAAAGATACAGTGTTTGCTGCAGACGTAAAGACAGAATTGTCTGCAGACACGCTTGAAACGTGTTCTAAGCATGTCTATACACGTCCAAACATGTCTGCAGAAAGTTTCGTAAGGCCATTGTGACCGTTTTACAAGAACGAAACACGCCTTAGACAGCAGACCGTCTTTTGTACTATCACGTATCACGGTGTGGCCTAACACACTGCAGCTCAGAGGACGTAGAGCGAAAGCCCACACTGGAATCCTGCGCTAAGTCCCCACAAATAAACTGTGTCTTATGTGTGTATTATTGGTGATCTTGACCTTGATTCATAATTATGGATGATTTACAGTGTGAATGATTGCTCTGGGCAACGGAAGAGTCCGTATTAATGAGACCTGACTGTATCGGAATAAAAGTAATTGTGCGGGCGAGCTGGTGAGCGATCGTGGCAGAGAACCCTTCAGACCTTCCAGTGTTTGTCCTTTTTTTGTTTGTTCCCTAGTCTCGAGGGTTCTCTACCTCAACTGTATTTATGGCCACAAACTATTCGCTTTGCCTTGAAGTTATTCCATTCGATTCAAAATTATTTGTGCAAAGAAATTATTCATCTCGTATACACTTCGAAATAAAAAATCGCCGTCCGCACATCCCCACTAAACATGCACAGGACACAATTGCTTTTACATCTGTACAATTCGTTCCACAGAACTACATCGGTAGAGTCGACTTACTGGTATTAGGTGTTCACCACAAACAACCGATAAACATATGCCAAATAATTTATTTGAAAGATTGGAGGGAAAAAGATAGACAATGCAAAAGTCACCAACCATTTGGAGCTTATCACAATTTCATTTCCAACGTTTTGGAAGGCAGACATCGTTTATGAAAATGCTGCCTTTTCGAGGTCGGATCCAGATCATAAACAGTAAAACAACTACCGTAAAATTCCGACCAAGCACCCCCACCCGAGCAAGAGCCCCCCAACTTCACTTCTAACCTCATATTTCCGCGCCGTTCCAGGAAAGTGCCCCCCTCCCCGCTCCGCACCCTTACCAAGCACCGCGCGCCCAGGCAACACTGGCCTGCCAAATCCAGTCCAAGAACCCAATTCAATCCAATCCTACTTTGCAGCCTGGTCGCCACGTGCCATTGTCGCTTTGTTTTGGCAGTGTCAGGTCGGCTATGCATTCTTACGCAGTGGCAAAGAAAATTCAGGTCGTCCAATGGCATTGTGAAAACGAAAAAAACATACTCCAGACATCTCAGCACTTCAAGCTCGACTGCATACATAAATGGGACAAGAATTTTGACAATTTGCTACAGCGAAACTATGGGAAAGCCAAACTACGACGAAAGCAAAGTAATGGCGCGCCGGTGTTCAGTGAACACGTGGACGACGCGCTCTTTGAATAGTTGGAGAGCGAAAGAAGTGCAGGATGAGCCGTTAGCAACCGGCTTCTTTCTGAAGAGGCTGTCAAAATAGTCAATGGCATGCAGTGAGGAAACATCACGGAATGCTGCAAACTTTTTCTTGCGATTGACTCTGAGGAGTCTTTTGGTGGTTTTGAAAGTGACTAACATAGCACTGACAAATCTTTGGCTTAATGAAGTCAATGTTCCCAGAGATAAATAAAACACTAAATCCATGTGCACTGCATTTTTTTTTTTTTTTTTTCTGCTGGGAAAATTTTGTTTTTGCCATATTGAATTTTGGTGCCGTTTCAAAATAGCCCCCCCCCCCCCCCCCTTGGCAGGTAATTTTGACTCGTGTGTCAGGGGGGGGGGGGGGGGGGGCGCTTGCTCGTAATTTTACAGTAAAGGTGTCGCTAACTTTTGTCAAACATCGAGATTCGACTGGTCAGCAAACCTTAAAACTTTTAGCAAAGTTAGACGACATTCCCCTTACGAGCAGTGTCACCGACTTTTACACGAAAACAAGTAATTTATAAAGTAGTTTATTGTACATTTTATAAATTACCAATTTATAGACAGTAAATATATATGTATGCTTTGAAGGTCGACTGAACAATGAGACATATAAGGCTTTAAGGGGACGCCTTAATAATGCGAAGCTTCAAAACCTGCTTGATTTCTTCCTCAGGGGCGACTAATTGGCTGCGGTGGCAGCACAAGGCAGCAGCAGCTCTTGTCGTCTTCGTCTGCCGAGAACAACCCTTTCCTACAGAGGCGGTACATTGTTAATCATCCTTGCCAGGTGGCGCAGGCCGCCTCTGTAGAAAAGTATTGTTCTTGATAGATGTAAAAGACGAGAGCTGCTGTCCCATGCTGCTGCCCTGTGTGATCCAGTCACTCGTGAAAAAGAAACCAAGCAGGTTTCAAAACGTTGGGCCACTTTTCTAGGGCTTTGGTTGGAGTATTTCCTTTTTATTACAATAGTTCCACCCAATCAGACATATTTCTGTCTAATGGCAATTGTTCACCCTTGCAAATACATGGGCGAATCCGCACAAAATTTGACGCGTGGCGGCGAAATTAGCTCGTTGACAGCGTAATATTTGGCCTCGAGAGCAAACAATCCAAAACCGACTTTTCCCGGGCATAAAAAAAATTGTTGTGCCTTTGCAGCCAATTGAAACGCGAGGAGAAAATGGCATTTGCCGATGTCCCATCCTGGCCGGGTCGCTCGAGTTGTCGGAGTTCCCAAATTGTGATAATGGCGCAGGGGTCACAACGGTATTGCCACGTCGGCAGGAATTTTCGTGGAGACTAAAAAATTATTCGACCCTCTTCGACAAGAGGCACCTGAACAACGAACACGGCGCCCAAAAAGAAGATCTGTGGAACAAAAGTGGTGCAAGCGGTACGTATGCACGTTGCCCCCGTTCGCTCCTTGTTTTATTATTGAATTTTCGTATTGCCGAGAAAACGTTGGGCATGTTCTTGGCACTGCAGGCTGTCAATCGTCTTATGTCGCGTAGCAGCGAAGCGTCGCTTGCTTGAGAAAGCCCAGTTTTTTAAAACCGCACCAGCTGGGGGGCCGTCCTCTTCAGTATCCATGAGAGACTGGGGCCGCGCGGATGTGGCAGGCAAGACCGAATGCGAACGGCGTAGTCTTTTTTTTCCGTCAAGCTAACTCGGTCGGCGACGAGAAAGATTTCCGCAAGTATGAATGAGGCTTGAGACGTTAACGTTGAAGTACCTGTGATGGTGGCGTGCCACCTCCGCCCAGCGTCGCTTGCTCAAGAGCGTGCCCAAGACCTGGTCCCCATCTCTGGCCAGCTCGGCCACCATGGTGGCACCGGGAGGCGGTGAGAGGCGCTCGCTTTCCTACAAAATAAAAAAAAAAAAACGGTAGAGGTCATACATGAACTCAATTTAAATACACCAGTGGAGATTATAAAACACTACAGGGAGTATTCACTGGCGGCCATATCCGTGTGCGGTGCTGCTGAGCGCGTGCTGACGGCAAGCTTCCGCAGTCCTTTTGGAGCGTGCATTTAGCACCATCGAGGTTGCCGGTCTTAGCAGGCTATTCATGTCAGCTCGTTCTGAGCATGCGCTCTAAACATCGCCCTCAAATATGGCGTCCAGTGAATACCTCCTATAGAGGATGGCAGCTGGTTAAATTCAGGAACAATTAGTTTAACACGCTAGTTTTATTCGAGATTAATTTAATAGGACAAGAGTTATTCAGGCGGGATGACATTCTATCAAGGGTGAGAGGCGGGCACTTTCTAGCTCTCAGCAATGGTAGTAAATTTTATGAAGAAGGCAAAGCTTCTCTCGGGGTTAAAGGCCGGGACACTCACAGGTATTTATGCTCGCCATGTTTTTTTATTTATACATGACATATGAGAGCCTAACTACCCAGAACACAATTTGCAGCTCGAAATTAGTTTTCTTTCTGCCCAAAAATTCACCGATGGAGAACTGGCCGTTTTGAGTTGCACTCACTCTCTTCTCCGAGGTCAAGTGCCGTTTTCTATGGTTTAGACACAACCACCAAATATAATCAAAGCCGTGGGTCATCGAAGACACACACTCAATATTAAAAATAATAAAAAAAAAGTATACCCATTTTTTGTGGCTTCTAAAAAGTTGCAAATACCTAAGTTGATTGAAAAAAAAAGTTGCACAGCCATGTGATTTTTGGAAACTCACTCCTCCACTATATTTCTTCTTTCTGCTCGGTCCGATTTCGGTTTCGAGCAGTTGCATTTTTTTACTTTACTAAAAATATATGTGACGCTGCAGCAAAATACCGATTGGGTGGTCTTTCGACACCATAATAAATTGCCTGGCAAAAAATTAAAAAAAAATCTTTTGGGGGGTGTTAGTGTCCGTCTTAAGGGGGGGGGGGGAAGTCCAAGTTGACTTTTTAAAGAAGAAACACTACTGGAGTTGTCACACGACGGTGTTCTGCTATCATTTGAATTTTCAAATAGCATTCAAATAGTGTCCTATTTGATATGAGTGATGCTATTTGATATCTGCTACTGGACGAATGCCAATGTTTGTAACTCTTGAACTGCCGCCAAGTCGAGGTAACAAGCCCAGGCGAGAATCAGTCCGCTGCCAGCTGGATTATGAAACTGGTCCCAGCTGGAAATGAGACTGCCCAGCTGGATTCCAGCTGGACTGTCTCATTCATCATCTTCCTCAGTGGAGTGCGGGGCACAAACAATATTCGGAGTGACGTTAACTAAATGCGACAAGCCAGATCTTTCCTGATGGCACTTGTCAAGAAACGCTAGTTAAACGTTGATCTGGTGCCTTGTGTTGGTCGGCGTTGCACAGAAACTCATAGATCATTCACGATTGCCCCGTCTTGTCAGTGGTGAACATAGTGAAGATGATGTCGATATTTTGTTTGTGTAGCTAAATCAGAGTATCGAAATACGAGACGTCCGCGATGCTTGCGTCGACCAATAAAACCTCAATTGCCGATCGCGGCCGATGTCATGGGTGTATGTATAAAAATACATCAAGTCGTCTGCTTCCAGTTTATTTAGGAGCCGCCTGCCACAAAGGAGAGAGCGGAGACTGGGCGGGAATTAGTTGAAGCGTCACACTTTTTTTTCCATTCATTAGAGACTCCGGGAATTCTGACTCGAGCTACTTGGTTCAGGGCTGAGGGAACTGCTATTGAACGCGACCAATCGGAAAACAAGAATGGTTGAATGTTTCTAATTGCCGTGTGATTTGCCAACTCATTCTTCCAATCGTAGTAAATTTGTCCCAATCGCCATTCGATTTACTAATCAATTATCTGTATGAAAGGATGTATTTTAAAATTCGTACGTGGCCCACCAAATGGCAATAAATATTGGCATAAAATTCCCAAACTATAGTGTCATCTTAATTCACAAACTTGTAGAGCTGATGTGCAAGTGAGCTGGTGAAAGCTTATACTAAAAAGGCCAGAAACGGGAGAAACAAAAAATAAACAAATAAGCGTGGGATAAACACAACACAATCTCAAATCATAGCTGAAAATGTTGGCTTGGTCAGTATAAATGTTGAGACCAGTATTTGTATTAGTAAAACAAAAAAATATGTTTTTCACTATTTGGCTACGTTGGCTGAAACTAAAACACATAATTTTCGCAAAAGGATACTGTTATTTGCAGAGAAACGACGAGCGTAGTTATTATATTCACATTCACTTGATGGCAGAAACAAAATTCGATGAAGCATTGTCAAGCGATTTGACGACTTGGCGTTCAATGAAATGGCGTTCGAGGAAACGTCCACTATTTGATGAAAAGTCAATCAATAAAACGGAGTTTCATCAAACGACGATGACAAGCTCTTCTGAGCCACAACATTTCGTGCAAAAAAGAAAGAAAGCATAATACACAACAAGTAAAACCACAGAACTGCCCTGCCTCATTTAACTCTGAGTTGGAGCTCGGCCGACAAATTGTGCCGATCAAGCATCACCAACAACAGCTCAACGCCATGGCGTTCACTATCTTTGGGCGTTTACGCCCAGTAATATAATACAAAGCACCAATTGCGCCGCAAGAAAGCGGTTTTTGTCTTTTTGTACATGTTTCCGTGACATCTAGCCTTTGCTTGTGCTCTGACCAGGTGAGAAACAAAGTATACTAATACATCGATATTTGTCACTCTTTTTAGCAACGCTTGCACATGGGAACTTGTCTTTGACACAATGACATTCTCCTCTCCCATACACGGACAATTGGACAAGAGGGGTTGGTCGGTCTTTGCTCATAAGCTGCAAAACGCTTTGACCCTGATGTATGCATAATTAAAAGAAGCACCGAGAGGCCCCTCTGAAAAGAAATCATGCTCGCATAGAGCTATTTAGCACCTACAGACTTGTTCATAGGTATTAATTTTGTGTACTGGACATTTCATCAAACACCGTTTCATTGAATAAAGTGAACCTTTCATCGAAACCCGCTTGATGCCGCTTCATTGAATTTCGCTTCACCGAATTTTGGAGCATTATACTGCGTTTTAGAATATTTACTCTCTTTTCTGAGTTGTTTCCACGCTGCTGTCCAATCGTCAGAAATAAAATTACTACCCTCGTTACTATTTCACCAAAAGTTTGGTTGCTGAATCGTAGAACATAACAAAAGTTGAGTGAGTAATAATGAGTGTTTTTTGTTTGCAAGCAAGATAAACTGCTGTACTCCACCATATTTTGTTTTCTATTTGCTCACGCATAAAAGGTAGATTCGGAAAGGGCTATAACTATCCTTCTCTGCGCCTTTTTTATTTATATATCTGCTGCAGTTTTCATTCTATCCTAGGAGAGCAGCTTTCTTTCTAAGAACAAAGGTTGAAAAGATGGTAAGTCCACGGTGCTGCCGATGACAATCAACAAAGAAAGACACACATTTTTTTCTGTTTCATGCGACATGGATACATGTCATTGCTTCAAGGACGACTTTGTGCTTGAAACAGAATACGCGTCTCTTCCAGAACATGGATACAACCTTGAAGGGACGTACCTTCGTCAATGTACCCTATGATCACAGGTTCCATAAAATGTCAAGGCAGTGTTCCTGTTTATTATTGGCTGCATAAGCAGCACAAGTCATCAGTTACTATAAAAAAAAAGGGGGTAGCGGAGAAAATAAGGTTTCTTATTATTAGTTTCCCTCTCTGTAGGAAAAGATAAGTCTCCTATTCTTCCGGTTTTAAGAGACACTAGATCCGAGATTCCCATTGCTTAGCTAGGCAGTGTTCGATCAAACGGCTTCGATGAAATGGCGTTCGATAAAACGGCCTCTATGAAACGGTATTCAATAAAACGGCATTCGATGAAATGTCCGGACCATGCCAACTCGACGGCGTCAGTGCATAGTGGTGCTGGAGGCGTGAGCAAAATGCCGGCAGATGTCGATTTGACAAACCCCACCCCACGCTCGTCAAAAATGATGACAAATAAACCAAGAACAATATTTGTCGATGGGCAATTGATCGGATAGGCCAATCGATAGTAGGTTGACTCGCCGAAAGGTAATTCGTCGAAAAGGCCAGTTCATTGATACTTGTCTTCGAGACCATTCAGTCGCCACATTGCACTCACCTTTGTTAGAACACAGACACATAACTAAGTTTTGGGTACCGAATATTATCTCAGGGCTGAGACAAGTCAAACAGATTTTGGAGCAATTTTTGAAGCAGAAAAATCTGGAATTTGGAGCCACTTAGGAGCACAAAATTCTCGTTTTGGAGCAGCAGTTTATGCATCTTGGAGCAACTTTGAAGCACAAAAGTCTACAGTTTGGACCAGATTAGGAGCAGAAAACGTTAGAGCAGCTTATCATCAATTTAAATTACATAAATCTGATCTTTCTTTTTTAATCGTTATTTTTTTCCATCCTGGTTCCAATGAATCATCAGCGCCGATACGGCACCGAGATAAAATGTAAAAGAAAGAAATTAAATGGAAAAGGCAAATGTGAGTTTCATGCGCATACATGAGGACAGGAAATGCAGGCTTGCTGCAAAGTTAGGTGGGCACCAGGTACTTCAAGCTTATACAAACTGGTGTCAAAGCGGAACTTCTTAAAGCGGTGATTCGAGAGCATCAACAGGGAAGCACGGTTTACTACAACCAAACATCCATCGGACACTCGTAGAAAGCACGTGCAGATAGAAAAAACTCTACACAAAAGCGAGTCACAAGGTAAACAGTGAAATGGTAGAAAAACGATGAGCAGCACATGCACGCTAAATATGGGTGTGTGACGGGTCCCTATCATTTCGTCAAAACTCGTTTCGTGAAATTACGTTTCGTGGACACACGTTTCATGGACACACGTTTCGTCGACAGTGCGACGTTT